TAATTTCCGTAAAAAACGTCAACTTTCTTTTTCGTTGGCATGTATAGTAAATTATTATTTAAAAAGTAAAAGTGAAAATATATACGCATACGTACATATATTCCTTACTTAAAAAAGGGAAGTAAAAGTATAATGTATCATTATTCATTCACATTACATATGAAGCGATTCGCTAAACATTTCAGTGAAAACTGATTGTTCCGAAACGTTAAGCATTCTGTGTCATGTCAAAAAAAAAAGCGTTTCGACTACGTTAGCTATTAAGTTGAAAACCAACGCAATATTTCGCGGTAAGTAAAATTTTATCGTGAAATTATTCGTTTTTACTTTCACATATTTTATCGCACATAGTATCGTTTAAAAGTCTACGTAATTACGGCAATAATGATAATAAAGAAATGAAATTTGTATATATTAAAATAAATAAAAAGAGAACGGAATTGTCTCGAAAAGGGGCCATTTTCGAACGAAGATGAGAGGCTTCATGGACAGGAAATGTTTCAGCCTCGGGGATCGACATTAATAATTCCTCGAAAAGCGCATGGAAGTCGGTCGAGAAGAAATTGCGATGCTGGATCGCCGTTGCAAAATCGAGGCCCCAAAGTGATTGAGCGTTTTACCTTTCGCGAAGGAACAACTTCCTCTCCGCGATCGTTCGATCTTCCGGGTTCGCGTTGAGCGAACCTCAGCGACCGATAACACTAGAAGTAAACTCGGCTCTAGCTTTAGCTTTGAAAATAGTTGCAGCTGAATCTATATAGTTAGATGCACAGCTCGTATACACCATATGTGTAGCTAGACCTACTTTACTCGCTCGAGAGATTACATCGATCGAGTCGAGCATGACGAGAATACGAGGCGTTAAGAATGTTTCGGATTAATTGAAAATTTATAAGTTACACATTTTTAGAATCGACAAAAAATAATAGGCAAGGAAAAGACAGCTAAATATTTTGAAAATTAATACCTAGATTCTTTCCCTAAAATCAAGGCTTTTCAACTCTCGTAAAATTTCATTTTCTGAAATACCAAAAGACATTCATACGTCTAATCGCAGAGCTTTCCGTATCATTTCGCAATGAAATTGATAAATATCCTGCGATATATCTAATTATAGCACTATCGGTTTCCCGGATATCCATTAAAAAATCGCCGACGACAAATGTAAGTAGACATCATATCATTTGATCGGTTGTATATGTATTGCATATACGGGAAGTTTTGCGATCAAACGAGTCGCGTTGTTCGACAGGAAATCCTTTAGCTCTGAGTCGCGTGTTTCTATGAAACGATTGCCGGAGAGACTTTGAGATGCGTCTCTTATGCATGCCAGGAGATCGTGCGCTCTCTTTCCATCTCTCTTTCTCTTTTGTCGGCGTTTATGGATCCCTTTCGTACCATCGATCTTCCGCGTTCTATAAAGCAGCGAATGCAACGAGTATTGTTCTAAGAGCAACAAGGATACGGTATGCCGATGTAAATAGTGAAACACGCCTAGCGTGATCCTGCCGCGGGTTATCATCCTGGCATTAATCCTTTCAGATTTTACCCCCGCGATCACGAGAGTATGTTAGTCACGGATGAAGTCTGCGCAGAGAAAGACACTCATTTTCTCGAGACATAAATCTCGTTTGGCTCAAGCATATTTAATTTTTAAATACACAATCAGGTTCAAAAAACCTACTAGTTTCCAATAAAATTCTCGCCGATACAAATACCTTGTTCTTTAGATTAAAATGTTGATCACGTAAGTTCTCGATACGGTTACCGGAAGTCATTACGGAGAAAGAAGGCAACGAGGGCGCCGCGGCGATAATTATGAAATTCAGGGGCGAAGTTTGCCAATGAACTTCCGGCCGTCGATTCTTCCGGTAAACGCCCGAGTCGATCGATCAATATGACTGGGTGAAACGAGTTTTGGCGCGATAGTAAACACGCGAAGGAGGGGAGCTCTCGTTTTCTCGGCGGAGACCGGCCGTGTGTAACTCTATAGGAAACCTTGCGCGTGAGTTTCACTCTGCATCGAGCTCTCTGTTACCGCTCCGTCAGGGATATCCACGTCTAAATCGATCGGCAATGCGACGAGTCGCGTGTAAACATCGGACACCTATCGCGAGCTCATCGCACGAGCATGAATGCGTTTTTAGCGCGCGAGCCTAATGCGAGCACCAACGACTGTCTGACGACCTTATTCTTTCTCGCATGGCGAAGTGTCACACGCGCTTATCTCTCTAGCCGAGCTAGAGAGTAGGACCGGTTGTCGGATCGGAGAGAAAATCCTCTTTTTCCTCATGCTTTTCCACTGCTCCAGTTTAACACTGCGGACTGCGATACTGCTGCATAACGGAGCAAACGTTGCATAATTGAAACGAAGACGACGCTGGAAAAAAGGACACGCAAGAAGGCTCGTTTCGGAGCTTGCTAATAAAGTTTTTAATTTGTTTTAATTATATTTACGCGCAGTTATGACAGTGCCAACAGAATTGTAATTACTTCACCGAAAAAAATAAGATAAAATCTTTATGTATACATGTTCCTTTAAAAAAGCAGAATTCTTATTCATTGGGTCACTTTTTTCCAACAATCGCTTCATTTTCATCCTTTGCCCGAATTGTTTTTGTCATGGACGAATAATAATGCTTCTTTTATTTTTCTGTATAAACGTTTTAATTGCGTGAAAAATCTTTCTTCGTATCTCTGTTATTTTGAATACGTCATGGATGTTGTAAGACTATCCATTGGATATGCTATACGAGAGGTGATTCTTCGAAGCCGCGTTATAATTTACATGGTCGCAAATCGCTTTCGCAATTTCGCTCGGACGTGTCTTTCGGACGATCTTTTTTTTTTTTCATCGCCGAGGATTCGCGAGTCGCGCGATCGCAATCGCGACCGTTCATCTCGTGTGGCAATCGTTACTAGACATATAGAATCCTTTCTTTGTCCATCGACACCGTGTCATCCGATAGCCGCAGGATATACGTGCCTAGCCGAGAGATGTATCGATTGCCGTTCGCTTTTGTGCGAGTTCGCACAGACCGATCGGTCGCCTGCCTCCTCGGGATTCGAACATGGGGATGCTCTTCGACGCGCGGAGGAGGCTGCAAAGATGGAGGGAGGGTTACGCGGCCGGAATTAATGCGGTGCGAGAGCGAGCGCGGGTCCGGTAGGGAAAAGGGATTTATGCACCGCCAGCGTTGATAAAATATATCCTCCGCGGGGATAAACCTTCCCTCTCTTCCGATGTTCGTTTTGTGTTTCTAACGTAACTCTTCGTTGCACGTATGCGAGTTCGCATTTTCCTGCGCGAGATACGTTCTTAGAATCGCAGCCATCGAAACGTAAAGCAGAACAAATCATCCTGGAAGAGATGAATAATTTTCTAATTAATAATTATAATTGTGAAATTTTAATTATAGGTCAGTTTTTTCTGGTCATATATGCTGGGTCGTAATATCTTATCAAGGTTCTAGCTGTCTTGAAGTACTTAAAAAAATCTACAAAAATTTATATATCCCTTGACATCGGTAGAAAATGATACAAATTAACAAAAATTAGAAGATAAATTTTAAATATTTTTTTTATTGATTAAGAATATTTTATTAAAATACTGGTAGGATAAAAATTTAAGGGTTAATACTTTGTAAGTCGCAAAAAAGGTTCGGAATATTGCCTCGAGAGGTGTAATTAACGTTTTAGCACAAAACCGTCAAAGAAGCGGATCTGTCCGCATGCTATCTGATGAGATGAGAAAGAGATCGCACCAAGGTGGGGGACAGAGGAAGAGAAGGAGGAAGATGAGGAAAGAGAGAGAAGGAGAAAGAGAGAGAGCGTCGCGCACTTAGGGCCTTTCGTCACGGAGACGAGGCGAGAGCCGCGCGCGCGGTCAATGGCTGCGGTATCCGCAGGTTCAAGGAAACCGGGCTGGTCCGATTCGACATGTCGTTCCCGGGGAAACCGAACAGGTGACGCGCCTGCCTCTGTGAAAATGCAGGTTAATGGAATGCCGTCTAAGTAGCCTCCGTCGTTGCTGCCGTGCAACTGCATACGATTACCGCGACTGGATTCTCGAGAATCTTCCACGCTTCGATGATCGAATAGAGAACTGTGTCATGCCTCTATCGAAAACGTTACACATGTATGACAGGTTTAAAATTTGCTATAAACATTTTTATAGAATATACGCGTGCAATTTTGTTCTATTGCGACCTATCGCGCTACAAAATTTACGCTGACATCTTGTAAGATCTTGTTACAGATGCTTATCAAATTGTAGAAAATATGACACTCGAATTTTATAAAAAGAATACTGAAGAAAGAGAGAGAGAGAGAGAGAAGAAATTTTATATATTTAAATTTTTTATAGAATTAATCAAGCATAGAACGAGTATAAATCCGATCGGTTTTGAATGCCAATCGTTCTCTTCGCGCAATTGTAATGAGGCAACAAATCTCATTGTTATGAAATTTCTTTCAAAAGAAAAAACTTTCTTCATAATCTACTCGTAGACTTATCGATTATTCCGAACAAAGCAATGATTTTCTCATGGTTGTGATAAGAGATCCAATTAACTTGTGATATTTTCGCATGGGCGGAAAACGTAAAATTTCTCTCGCAATCAGATACATGCTGCATGCACACTCAAGATTATATCGCAAAATGTTTCAGCATAATTGATTAAACATGTCGGTTATACACAATATTTATCCATCGAGATAATATTGATTTATCTCTGTCGGTTGCTTCGTGCATAATTTTCAACATGCCCTGATATTTTGACGATTGTACGAAGGCCACTCCATGCGCTTCTATCAGCGCACGACATAGCAACGAACTCATCGATCGGTCACGAAGGCGGCTTTTCGAATGAGAGACCACGAGAAACCCCAATCGGACGACGACACGAACGGGGGAGAAGCACGGGCGTTTCACGGTGTCTATATGCGTGTGTAAATGTATGCGACTCATGCGTATCGATCTAATGCCTTTTTTTCCATACCGGTGCATGAAGGCGGCAGTTGACATGTTACTATCCATGGGGTGGTTCCATAAATCCCGGCTCGGCCCCGCCAACGCAACCCCTTGGACGACACTCTCGTTAGCGGTGCTTCCGACTCCGTTCTGTCACTCTGTGTCCTTGATACGGCACTGCGATCTCGCCGCGTCCTCAGAGGATCCACGATGAACGAGAAGATGCGACGCGGCCGCGGCTGGCAACAACAACCAGTACAAATAGATTCGACACCTGCCTGTACGCCGATCTAGGCAGGTTGGGACCTTCCACCGGACTGAAGTCAAAATGCGCACTGGTCGGTTTCCATGGTGGTGGGCCGATGGTGGTGGTCGGTGTCGGAGAAGAGAGCTGGAGGTAGTGCCAGTAGTGGTGGTTGTTAGGTCGAGGTGGTGGCGGCGGCGGCGATGGTACCCGGTGGATCTTGGAGAATTGGTGGGGGTTTTGACAGAACCGTCTGTGCCGGCTGCGCGTCGCGTTCTCCATCAGGCGATGGCGCAGACTAGGTCTTAAGGCACTACGCGCATGATGGTGTTGGCCGAGAAACACCCATGGGACGCGATGGGATTGGGACTAGAATTGTCGCGGGGCGTGAAACCGGCGTTAAATTTGCACCGTCTTGAAAATTTCTCATTAATAGTAATAATATGAGGCTGCCCTTTCAAATTAATCTTGCGCTCGCGATACGTGATTATTGTATTAAACAATTATGTTCCTCTTACAATTAGATGCACTCTGTCATTTATGAATATAAAAATTTATTTAATTTATTTAAGTGTTTAAACAAATGTGTATGGAAAATAATGAATTTAATTTGAGCATGCAGGTCCTGTTTAATTTTTTAATATGCGGAATTATTTTTTATTACAGTGATAGGAATATCTGGAAAATCAATAATTTTATTGCTTCCCCTTCTGCCTCGTGAGCACAAGGATAATCGAGAAAAATAGTCGCGTCAATTTTCATTATTTTACAATAATAATTTCTTCGGTATACGAGAGAAAGTAATGCGCATTCTTGGTAGCTGTTTTATCGCGAAGGCGCGGCTTGGCTCAAGATGCTGCTTCTTAATGTATTGTCGGTTCAATGTACATTTTTCTACAAACGCTTTATTTCAATGATTCTTTCTCTTCAACGGTAGCAATTTTGTGACATGAAAAATGTTGGCATGAACGGTACACAATTTTGCCGAAAATTACATTTTTTGCTTCTGGCTTTATATAAGCTTGCGCAGTTCCATTTCCATTTGGTACAACTGTCGGGCACTTGTTGTCGGGCTTCCATTTCATTTTTTGTCTTTCATGGCTTTTTTCTCTTGTCTTTGTCTTCGTGCTTTGTGTTTGCGAAGGATTTTCGCGAGAAACGAGCTAATATTTGGTGCGCGATTTTCAAGCAAAATGCAAATTTGTCGATTCGTTATTACACGTCCTAAATTTTTTTACGTCGCATAAGAGTAATCCAGGTGCAGATTTTTTAGAAACATATTCTCAAAATACACAATTAAATAATATCATTCTATTTTTACAAGTTATTCGAAAAAAGAGATGGGCAATTTACGCGACAAGTAGGCTTCATCGAAATTAGGCTTGTGCAGCTCCTATTGGAGCACTTTACGCGTGCGATATCGATCCTTTAATGATGTTTGCCGGTAGACGTAGGTACAATGAGGCTAACTCGTATAATTGTTCGGTTATACTCGGGGGTAATTGCATTGGCCTGTTCGTCGTACCATCTCTCTTCAGGCGGCGGAGTAGAATTTAATTATGGCCAAGTACCTGGTTGAAGCGGCTCCGAGTTCTCGGTTTCACCTGGACGACTCCCCCAGTTCCGGTGCATTTAGATTCAAAGCTCGGGACGAAATCAATACGTAGATATCGCGCATCTCAGCTATTTTCTCCCCCTTTACGATGTGCTCCCCTGCTTCCGGTAATAAGTTCCTCGGCCGCGCGGTAAACTGTGCCAAAGAAAAAGAAGAAAAAGGAAAGAGGCTGCAGAGATATTAGAAAGCATGGAAAATGAAGGAAATCGAATTTTCCCGTTTTTTTATATTTTTGCTGAAAGACGCCGAAAATAAAAGTTCAGAAAATATTATTTAAAAACCTGCAAAATCCGCAAATTTTCTGCCTACATGAGTTCACTAATTTAATACAGGTTACAATTAATAACATTCAATTTTTGATGATTTATAATATTTTATTTATAATATTTTATTATATTATTTTACGATATTATAATATCTCGCTCACATTATAATTTTATTGTGTTAATAAAAGTTTGAGTTGTATAAGATTGAAAGATCTCTTATTTTATCTTAAAAATTTCGCTTAAATTAACTAAATTTTTAAAACAAAATAAGAGATCTGCGCGACGACAAAAATAAAATTTATTAGATATTGACAACGTATAATCACTCGGCGCAAAGTGATCAGGTGAAAGAGCATCTGGACAAAGAAACGAGTGGAAAAAGATAGTCTGGAAGAATGGTGCGCTCATCGTGATCGGTGCGCAGAACGGGCAGCATTATTCACGCAGCGCATAGCGATTCATTCGTCATTGTCCGACGTCCCTTTGTAACGTTACACGAGGATGGTTCTCGCGGCATATGGACTCATTCACCGGTGAATCGTCACAAGTATGTACGACACACAGACCTCGTAATACGTGTACATACATCGCGTTTTCGCGCGACTATTCAGACTTGCCGAATTTCAAAAGTATCCTACCAGCTGTACAAATGCGACATAGAGTGCTATGCACTAATTAAAGCACGGAAAAATATATAGAAATCTCTGCTCAATTTCGTGAAAGCTCTACGAGGAGAAATATACATTCAAATATTCAAAATAAGTTAATTCTGTCGTGAAAAGTCAGAACCCATTCGTTTATCATTCAACGAGAACGCGAAGGGTGCTCTGTGTTTACTTTCTTTTCGACCCATCGCAGACGGTCTGAGTAAACGAGACACGGCGAGAGGGTGGCGAAGAACAAGTGCGCTGATGGCTAGGGACAGCGGTGGAAAATTGCGTGCTCGTACGCATTCGATGCGACTTCCGCGGGACGGCAGCCAGTCACGCCTCGTCGCGAGGACATGCGTAGGACTGACGGGGAGAATGAATAAACGCAAGGGAAGTAGTAGAGCTCGATGAAAGTTGACTCACAAACCATTACGCACACGAATAAATTTGTGAAATCCAAATACAAATATGTTTGTATCGAAAATTGGATTTAGCTTCCAATCTGCACCGTTTCTATCAGCTAAATCTATATTTCTTGCTATAAATTTTTCTGTACAAGTCATAATTTCATATCTTTACAATGAAAAATCAATTTTATATCGTCGTATGTTAAAAAAATGATAGAATTGGAAGTACTTTATTTTTCAATAAATAAAATACGGATTTTTATAAACATATAAGGATATAAATTCTCATTTTATGTTAATAAAATTCATATAATGTTATATTGATATTATATAATTTAACTTCAGATACAAAGTAATTTATTTTCGCTATATTTAATTTTTTCTAAAACTTTTATATATAATTTGAAATTAAAAAGTCACGCAAGATAAAGCAGGCAAAACAATTTTTTAATTAATTTTTTAATGAGCATTGTCGTTTATCTTTCGTAGGCTAAACGAACGAGTGCGATTAATAAATGTTATGATGATCATAAAAGAGTGTAATAAAATCGCAGTTACCTGCTGGCAATAAGGATCAATCGGCAAAGAGTTTATCTTCTTTAAATTCTGATTAAAAATCGAATCAAAATGAATACGATTAAGAGCGATAAAAGGTTCTATATTTTAATTTAAAAAAATAATATCAAATACATAAATTATATTTATGTATATATTTAGTATTATATAGTATTATATTTAGTATATTTGTGTATATATATTTATATACGTATATATGTGTATATATATATAATATACATATAATATATTCTATCATTTTATAATACATCTAAAACACACATTTGTCGAGAATAAGTAAATTATGTAATGACCATTGAAAAATTGACTTTTCCGTTTCATCCGATATACATGTAAATCGATAATAACTATCGAAAGGATTGTTGCACATACATAATAAACGGATTGCATTTATTACGGCACATATATAAGGTACATGATGCATTATCATACTAATGATACATGCAACTAAGTGAAAACATCTTAAATATATATAAATTACATCTAAAATGTAAAGAGTAAGATGGTAATCATGTATAACGCTATGTAATAGATTAGCGAGAGAACTGTACAATCAAATAGAGGTTCACTTTTTTGATTATCACGGTATAATCAGGTGCGCTTGTAGCGATGAGTAATTTCGTCAATTGGAGAAATTGCATAAATCTTCTGAGGAAGATTCACGACCTCTCCGTCCCTCTACAAAAACGGGGACAGCCTCAGACTACAACTCTGTCCTGCTGTCATTCGATCATTTTGAAGAGTGCACAGGAGAATATCATTCCAAAAAACTGAAACAAACATGGAGAATTTAAACAATCCTATTTGCTATGCAATAAATAATAAATGAATAAAGGGAATCTGCTTAAACATTATTTAAACAAAATTTAAAATGAATTAAAGAGAAAAAAGAGAGAGAAGAAGCTAGTCTAGTTTCAAAGACAATTAAATCATTTTTTGAAAAATGTTTAAAAAGTTTGAAAAAAATTCTCAGAAATTACTCATCATATATATATATATATATATATATATATATATATATATAATAAATATTTAATATTTATATTAACGGATTTATCTCGAATTAAAAAAAATATTAAATTTAAGAGAAGTGGGCTTGGGCGTTTAAAATTAAATCTCGCTTCGGTTATGAAATGTAAAATGAAGTCGATAAGAAAATATATCTGGTCGAGCTCGTTTGACTTTATAGCGCCCAGCCCTTCATTTAGATTTAACGGAAGGGTTTCATAAAAATGTAAACTGCACCCTTACCATGAGGCATGCGACTGCAATGCCGGCGCCACCCATAACGGTCGCGTGCTTCTGCATGTAGATTCGCGTTCCATTGATGCAACCATCCATATAAGCATTCGAGGGATTTACTGTGTCCGGACCACCGTTGCAGTGGAACCGCTGCAAACAGATCGGTTTGTGATGAGAAATACGATTCGTCGTAGCTTACGAGAAAGTAGATCGAAGGAGTGAAAGCGTGAGAGGACAGATCGGAGCCTGATTAGGACTCGACCGATTAAGTAATTTCGGCCAAATTGATGATTGCTTTGACCGTTTGAGGGAAATTGAACGGGTCGTATTTCATGACGATATTGCTTAAACCGCGAATAATTATTCGTGTGGATCTATTTGGATCTAATCCATCTAACGCGGAAAAATCATCATCAATCTTATCGAAAATAATTCCGCTATCAATCTTATCGAAAATAATTCCGCTATACTCGAGTGCGAGTAGAACTCTCTTCTGAATTCTCTCCAACTGTTTAATAGGACTTGGCGAATATCATTAAGCAACGGCAAAATCCCCATAATCGTTGCCGTATACATAAACGTACCGCGGTGAATATATTATCAGATGCACGTGCGTATAGTAAATTACCATCATTACTTAGGCGCGGTCGCACAGCCGACTATAACTATTTCGTCATCGAGCGATCGCGTTGAGAGGTAATTGACTTTTTTACCTGGCCCGGTTGAATTTCTCGACAGCAGCTCTCCGGCACGCTAAGGCCAATGTTTCCCCAGTCCCTCCAGCTGTTAACGCCGCAGCAGTGGAGCTAAATTTACAAAAAAATTGAATTAGCTTTGAATTGAATTTGACAAATTCTCGCGACGTTCATAAAACGACATCGTTTTTCAAAATTACTAACCGTCGATTGCGTGGCATCCCAGGCATCCCGGATAGATTTACGATGATCGTAAAGTCGGAGCGAGCTCGTCATCTCTCTGTCAACTGTGCTTAGCAATTTTTCGCGGAAAACATATCCCAGAACGCCGCCGATAAGCATGGTCACAAATAGCAAAAATACAATTATGAAGTACTGAAAAAAATGCTCGTTATTAATCGATAAGTTTGCTTAAATTTGATAGAAATATAATGCTTAATCATGAAGAAATTTAATATTGGCGAGATTATGATATATCAAATATTCTAGCTTTAATGTGCAACTAAGTTCTAGATACTTACTGTCAAGAGCATACACTTGACTTCCCGCGATGCACCAACACATCCGAAGAAAGCGATAAAGGCCACGATGATTCCTCCAACTAGCAAAACATAAACTGATCCAGTTAACAGGTCATTTCCCACGAGTTCACCTATCCATGATACTTTGTCGATTAAGGCCCACACGCCTAAACCCGTCACAATAATCCCTCCAATCTGAAATATAAATTAATAATAATAAATTTTTTAACAAATAATTATCTATTATTATGTCTATTATTATATGTCTATTATATCTTTGACAAAGTCATATAGATATAAGACTAAAACTTACGAAAATGATAAAGTTCGTTAAAAATAAGGAGTATTTCATGAAACGACCACAGCCATCCATTTCTGTGCCGTATCCCATTTCCTCTTAGTGATGTTAATCTATCAACAAAGCAATAAATAAAATAATAGTAAAATTAACAATAAAATATAAAAATGTTAAAAGGATAAAGCTTTTAAAGCAATATTTTGCAAATATTATTGCCGCGTTTTAATTAGTGTTATTTCTAAGTGACCTATATAAAAAATTAAGATCTTTTCAAATATAGTTTTTGTTACTAAAAACAATTATCTTAACACGTTAACTGTCGCGGATATTTTTGGAAAAAGATCCCTCAGGCCACCCCACTTTTTTTATTAATTTTCCTAAGAATGATGTATTTAGGATTATTATACAGTAAAATTACATTTTTTGTAAATTATTTATTTTTAAGTTATTCTCATTTCTTGTCTTTCTAAAAGACAAAACTAGCGTGTATATTTTTTCATGCACATGGCATTTAACGTGTTAAGTTCTTCGGTTTGTCACAAAATGAAATATAATTTTTCTTTACGTTGCCACTTTCTTTGCCATTATATTATTCTGTTTCTTGTTTTCTCGTCGTTTAAATATAATAATATTAATTGACTCACGAGTAGACTAGCAATTAATTGACTCATGAGTCACGAGTAGACTAGCAATTGTAACTGAAAAAATTTTCATTACAGTCACGTACATCGCTTTTAATTTATGTCACACATCTTATTTAATAACATCAAACTTCGGCCTAGTTTGAAGTACCTTGACCATATCCTATAGCCTTGACCATATCCATAGGCGTCGAATTTTCTAAACTTTACGGAAGTTTAAGATGGATAATAAGCTCATATTTTCGGCAAGCAAAGTAAAAGATAAAAAAATATTTAAGGACGAAATATTCTAGTGCGTCATTCGCAAAGAAAACTTCTTGTTAATTATTTAATTATGGGAAAAGGATTTTATTAATTATTTAATTGTGGGAACGCACGCGCACTTTACTTTATAAGTTTATTACACAAGAAACGCTATCATGTTCCTTACGAATTAGGTTAAAGTCTAATTTAATCAAATGCCTACTGCCCCTGCTGCGTAGTAGTTTATACGCATTAGCCTAGCATAATCATTTGTGGAGAAAAATAGGTGTTTGTGTGATCAACGTGAATTTTCACGGCTCGGAAAACAGTCGGCAACTTCCTGTTTTGAAAATACTGCGCACATGGCTTAATTGCTCCCTATTGTTTACCGAACACGTAATAAAATCCCGTAATATAGTATCAATCGCTCAATAGCTAGTCTATTTACGCCATTTATAATCGACAGGAAGCGTGCGCGCGATTTTTAATACGTATTTATAATGCTCGCCATAACATCCCATTTCTAAAGAACGCAATCACCTGTTGAATGTACGCGTTCTACAAGGATACGTTTAATGGTGCAATACGGTCCTAAGAAGAATGCCTCGGAGTAGCGCGCATGTTGATCGCTATCGCTCCATGCAATATCGCATACCGTGCCCACGTAAGGTTGCGTGTTTTGTAACGTGTTTTATACCGACCTCGCAGTCGTACACCGACACAGGTACCGGCTCGAAAAATACATTACGAGACCGAGAGAGAAAGTGACTTCTCCCTTCGCATTAAGTAATCCACGGCCAGAGCGAAGCGTAAAAATGACGCGGCGATGATGCTCGCACTTGCAATCTCGCATCCCGCAAATGACGTTACTCGGCCGAGCTTCCTCCGTTTTATTTTACGAAATGTTTGAATCACTTTGTCTTACCGATTAATCTTAATTCCGCGAAGCGGGATTAAGTCACAGAGAGAATCATTTATAGAGTACTCCAGAAGACTGAGAGATCTGTAGAAAGGCCATATTAATAAATTTCGAAATTAAATTATTTTTTTCAAAGCCTTTGGAATCAAGAATTAATAAAAAAATTCAAAATAAATGACTGATTGTATCTTACAAAATACTATGCATTTTAAACTCGATTTGCATCTCTCTACAAGATTAAAAATTCTATTAGATTATTAGAACACTGTATATTAAAATGATTTATGTTCGTCATAAATTTCGAGAATAGCATCAATGCAATCGTTCGAATAAAGACCTCTTGATATCATCGGTTAAAGAAGTATTCATCTGAAGCTGACGCATATGATTTGCTGCATTACGCAACTTATCTGATGTTTTTCAAAATGATAAAACAACATGTTATTCATTTGCTTGATATACATATGAAAATAATCTCGAACGATTTTATGGCTGTCAGAGTTTCATATTCAAGAGCGAAGAGAGATATATTTATAAAAATCTTTTTGTTTAGAAATTTTCCAGACTTTTTATGTTTAATATTAATCCTCAGAAACAATTACGATTTTTTCCGTGCTCGAGGGATCAGCATTTGTGCACAAACATGCATAAACAATCACGTATTTATCCACGTAATGCAAGCGAAACGTCTCTTTTGCGCGATAAAAATAAACGCACACACACAGAAAAAAAATAAGTGTCAAATCATACATACTTAAACTAACGCGTTCATTGTTTCGTATATACGCAATAATTTATAATCTTAGGAGCATTTAATAATTTTAAATTTCAACAATATTATAGTCTTATTTTAATATTGTAATTGTCACCTCAAGAATATATAATTTAATTCTACTTTAAGAAAATTATAATCTTTGATTTAAAAATGTTATTTTCTGTCCAATATTGTTTCTTTTCCATTTAAGAAAATTGAATCTTAAATCATAAGAATATATTTTTCTTGATTGAACTATATAAAATGGCTTCATTCAAGTACGCAATTATTCAAGCAATTATATTTTTCTTTAATTAACGCAATATAATCTCATTTCAAGATTTCATGTTAAAACTAAAAATATTTTCAAAACAAGAATGTCCTTTTTTTTTGTGCACCTATAAATACCTGTGAACAATCTTGACGAGACAATCATAAATCGTCGAAAATAATCGTCGGCAACAAGAAGATCGTAGGAAGAAGAAGGAGCTTGAGGAGTGATCCTTCGATGAATCGAAAGTTAATCTCGGCCCGAGGTCGCCGGGTTTTATTCTTCTTCCAGGTAGTAATATTACTACAATCCTGCCTTCTGATCCCACCTTTTCATATTTAACTATCGCTCTCGTAACCGTCACCAAACTGCGCGTTCTTAAGCTCACGTGACACTAGTAACCAAAGCACGTTTCAACCGAGGACGAGACTGACAACTGACGCATCGCGTATCGTTGTTGCGATTTATAAGCGTTCGTCGTGAGATTTATGATAATTTTCATAAATACAATAGTATTTGTCAAGGTACAAATCTATAAAACCGGTCTACGATAACAATCAGCGTAGAATGTTGCGCATTACATATTTCGAAATCGCGCGGAAACTTGATGATTTCGAAGCTCTCTTTCAAAATTATTTAGAACATAAAATATCAAGCAATAGTAAAATTTCTCATCATCTTACTAATCATTTTAAGATGCTTAACGCTCCTATATTTGAAATAATGAGCAAGCAAACTGAAAAATTTGTAAAGTTTGGAGTATTAACAGATGTTGTGCAACTTGTGGTAAACGCAATAATTTTATGACTATTTTATAGCTTAAAAATATTTTTCACGACTTCTCTTTGTAAATATAAAAATATTTTTCATGACTTCTCTTTGTAAATATACTTGGACATTTAGAGGTTGAGAATATTAATATAAATGCTTATAAGAGAGAGGAGAGATTCTTATTGATTTTAATCACATAATGTTGCGCTTGAAAGATTATTAATTTTATATTCTAAAATGTAATATTTTTACGAAAAATACTTTTATAGAATCATCCGTCAAATAAAAATTTCTAAATATACAATTGAATACATTTGAAATTTATGTAAAAAAGATAAAAACATTATTTTTTTCACATTGCATAAGTTTAAAAAATACAATAGAATTTAGTCAATTTGAATAAGATTTAATTAATTGAAATTATACATCTATATCGATAGTCAAAATTAGCCTCTCGTCGTCAAACAATTAATGCGCATCAAAAATATAGCATTACTTGTAAGACGTAAACACGACGAAATTGTGTGGCAAATTTGCATAATCAGCTTTCACGTTTATTAGTCATCAGGTTCGTTAAGCATAAATTAAGTTAACACATAGAATAAGAAAATTTTCACTGTTCTTCTTGTATGCTAATTTATAGATTAATATTATTTGACGAATGTGGGCGTAAGCTAATCTTCATATCATTTCGTCAATGAGTTAGATGATCTCTAATTACACTTCCTTTCTTAATTCATAACCTTAGGATAGTGTTATAACAAAACTGTCAGCCCTCGTTGAATTAAACGAGCTTATTTCAAAAGTAGGCTAAATCAATCTTGAACGTTAGTAACCTTATTCACATCAACATTCCGCGATTCGAGTATAAATTTCACAAAATGCATAAGTTTTTGCAGAAAATAGGTACTTTAGTTTAAAAATTTCTATCTTTTACAGGATAAAAAAATCCGCTGAAAATCGTATTTGTAATTAATATATATCAAATACATTACAGTATGAAAGTTGGTGGATGAATGACTGCGACGTAACTTCTTGCATCTGATTTTGATCGAGATAAGACGGAATATATAAAAACTGTTTTCACGAGAGAATCGCAGCTGTTCTCTAACCGACGCCGATCGATTGCTCAACATCTTTTACTCACGTTGATCTCTGGCCGGCTTCCTTTCTCCAGCCAGCAGCGGTCGCGGAAAAGCAAACAATTCCTTTCTCCCGCTTGTGGAAAGCCTCCCCCGCTTCGAAACGAACGAATGCCAAAACAAATTAGCGATTCGTAGCGGAAAAAAAACTAATCGAATTTTACAATGTCAATCGAGCGTTTCGTTTTTCGATGATATAATTCGAACCAAGGCGCCGAGTCGGACACGCGCGATTACAGAGTCGGAGTGAAACTGAAATGGTAAGACCGAGTGAACTTCTACCTCGCTCACTCTCTCTTTCCGTCTCTGTCCCTTTGTTTCCCTCCCGCTCTCTCTTTCCCTCTCTCTTTTTCTTTCTTTTCTACTCTCATGCTAGAGTCTCCCTCAACGAATCATCGCTTACTATACTATATGTATATGTTGTGTGTACGTTACTACGTCCTACAGTGCGAGCTATTGTACACAAGGAAAATCATGCGTATGCGGACTAAAAAGGTGGGGAAGCACGTTGACGCATATGCATAAGGTACAGCACGTTGAAATACACGAGGGAGATCACAAGGTCCCACTTTCGAGCAAGTAGAATATAATAATCGATCCATTCGCAGTCTATAGAAAAGACGATTTGTTGATTTAACATTGTTTTGTTAATTGTCATTAACATATCGTTTACACTAGTCGCTAAAAAAACGCATTCATTTTCATTACGAAGGATTCTTAATCCTCGATCATTCTCGTGAATCCAGCAAGTGCTAGGGAAGAGAACTAGAGAATCTGCTTTATTTTCATTTATTTATAACAATTTTTTATATCAAAAGAATATAATATTATTCTTAAAATATTAATCATAATATTATATATATTATATATTATAATATTATATATATATATATATATATATATATATATATATAATTATTTATTATTCTAATATTAGCTAGACATAATTCTGACACATAAATTTAATTTAATCTATAAATTATTCTGTGTAAATTCATATTAATATCTTTGTGTGAATCTCCAAAATCTACTATTTTTTATCTCCTCTTTTTAAATTGCTACATGTAGTCTCTATATATATCTTTCTCTATATTTTCAAGTGCTTATAATTAATATTATTACAGAATTTCAGCCAGTTGCATGAATTATCAATGATATATAATTTAAAACAATGTGGGTGGGTCAGTCATTTTAGGCACGTATATCACACGCTTCTGTCATTTCCAAAATTAGTTCGTATTTAATAGTGGTAATTTCAATGTTTGTTCGACGACTCCACCCAAGTAATAATCGTTGATTCTAATTGAAGTAATCGAAGTTAGGCTAAGAGTTTTAATCAAACCATTACATTATATAATGATTCTGTACACTTGGACAATGTACGCATATAATATTAAGCTAAAGTATTTTGACATATACGTATTTGACACATCACGAGACAATAATCAATTTTTATTCACATAAGCTTAAGTATCATGAAATACATAAAATTACTTTTATATTGCTTTTATATTTTATAGACTACCTAATTGTAAGATATAACAAAGAATATCGAAAAAGCGTTTCATTATCGAGGTAATTATTATTGTATTCCAAATATATTATTTTTATTCTGAAATTGGAGTAACTTTGAAAAATGTAGAAAAAGGTAAAAATCTCAATTATCAATTAATCACAATTCAATTATAAATAAACTCCAGTGTATTCCAAAAGAATTCTCTTTGAATTGTACGCAAACGATATTCTATCGATATATATCGCTATCGAGATGTCTATCGAGTTTAAATCGGGCACGCTGTTCCAAGTATGCAAGATGGAGACGAGTGTGTTTTCAGGTTGAATAGGTGCGGTTGCTTTGCGATTATAATAGCTGCATCAGCTGTTTCGTGCGATAGGTCGCGCCTACAAACGCCTTAACAGAACCGAAATATTGACAGCTGAGTCACCGTCAAGACGATCACATTGCGATTAGCTACAGTTTAACTTAATTGTCAGCTGTCAAATGTTTTTGTATACGTACAGGTGCATACCGAATGTTCAATGCAAAATCACAAATAGCATAGTAATAACGTTTTACGAAAGCTGTGCGTCAGTTCAATGAGACGCGATAAATTTTTATCCAACAAAGAGAAAGTTCGGCATAGACATGGAGAATCTGGAGGCGTTAGGATGGTGAGTAGGATGTACTCGTAGCATTGCACTCAACCTTGCTAACTCTGCTGAAAGAAAATGTGTATTCTTTCCCCTACAAAAATTGAACAGTCCATCGTCTGAATTACGATTAATATTTGTAATTGCTTAATTCATGTTAATTTTCTTGTATTATTAGGTATTTGTCTGATCATGGTTATAATGTGGCAACTGATTCGGGCAGCATAAGTGATACGCAGAGGATAATAAAACGATTGTTAGATGTATGTATCGTATAATTCTATTTACACACAAATTAAATTTCAGAAATTCTTGAGAATGATGTAAATTATTTCAAAAATATATATGTGAAGAAAAAAAATTATTTGTAGCTTGACTTAAGAGAGGTTGGCAATGGAAATGGAGATATTAATCAGGGCAATATTGTGTTACAAATACAAAAGATTCGTAATATCTCTGCACCCAAGGGAAATGAAGAATCAAAAACAGCTCCACGAATGTTAAAATTATCATTGACGGATGGTAAAAATAATTTTCAAGCTTTAGAAATTGAACATATATCAGCATTAAAGTGAGTATATAAAATTTTGCACTACATTTTATATATTATTTTTTTATAATTATTTTTCTTATCTATTTTATATGCTATTAGTCTAAATACACCACCTGGTACAAAGATATTGATAAAATCAGGAACCTTACCTATGTCACATGGAATTCTTTTACTGAGCTCATCACATATAATTCATATACTTGGAGGAAGAGTTGCAAATTTAGTGGAAAAATGGGAATTAAACAAGGTAAATTATACTTTATATAAGTAAATATGTAAAAATATAAATTTAGAAATTTAAAATGTATAATAGTTTTTATTTCAATTAGCTTAATAATAGTTGATTTATTTACTGGATGCAAGAAGTATAGACAACTGCTTTTGTTATAGAAATTAGCCTCACATACTCGTGTAAGATCAGCTGAAGAGGGTGGACCACCACCATGGATACCATTTGGCAAAAAAATTATAAAAGTTTCAGAGCAAGATAAGAACTTTAAAGCATTAATAGAAAAAGAAAAAACTAGCAAAGAGAATACAGAGTTTGAGGCCCAACGTAAAGATGCAATAGCAGAAGCTGCCAAACAAGGCAGTAAGAAAGTATTTGGTGGCGGAAATAAACAGGTTTGTTTTGTTTTTAAATTTTTCTAATAAAATTGTGAATTAATATCTAAAAAAAACATTTATATTTTTTCCATAGTTATTAGATCATAGTGTACAGAAAATCATAGATCGAGGATTTACCATAGAGCAAGCAGAATACGCTTTAAGAATTAACAGAAATAATGTAGATAGAGCTCTTAGAAGCCTACAAAAAACCGATAGTAAACATAAGTAAGTATTAGTTTTTATTTTCTCTTTACTTTCTTATTCAATTACTATTAAATTATAATCTTATATTGCAATTAGCGTTAAAGAGTCTCGAGAACCGCGAGAGCCACGTGGAAAACGAGACAAGAAAACTGAAGAGAGTAAACCCAGTAGTGGAAAAATATCTCTATTCGATTTTCTTGAAGATAAACTACCTGTGCAACCTGAGAGTGTCGAAACAATTAATTCATCACAAAATAATTATGTACAAAATAACGAAAATAATCAAGATCGTGTTGAATCGAGAGGCAACGATGCACAAGGTGGCAGAGGTGCGCGGTATGTAACTTTATTACAAAATGAATTTATAACAAAAGTTTAACAAAAGTTAATTATAATATAATGAAAATTAATTGATTGTTCTTGTATCCTTTTTTTTGTAATGACAGAAATCAAAAAGGTGGCCGCGGGTATCAACCTCCTCCACGACATTTAGAAGAACATAAAAATAGCAAACGAACAAATAACAGCAACTCTGCCATGTATCTGCAATATAATGGTGTTACTCATACACAGCAAAACAAACCACCAAGATTTCAACGAAATCAAGAATTTCAATATCAGTATCAATACGATGGAGGTAGAGAAGCGTATCAGAAATCTCAGTCAAACGATTCTAAAAATATGTTTGTTCAGTCGCGCACAAGTAACATAAATGCCAATAGTGGTAATGAAAGTTATAACAAAAATCAAGCAGAACATCAAGAAAAGAATTTCAGTAGTAGCAAAAACTATAATCATTTCGATTCTGAGGCAAGAAATAGGCATTCTTATGATGCATCTTATGGTAGACAAAATCGGGCGCAACAAAGTGGGACTTCGAAAGTAGATTACACATCTAATACAACCGAACAAAATTATAAAAATCAATTTAGATATCAGTCGAATAATAATGTTGGAAACAGGATGTCCGTGAATTCTAACTTGCAAAGAAGTGAAAGCAATTATAATAATCATGTTTCCACCAATAATGCATGGGTATGGCGAGTAGGTGACAAGTGTATGGCTAAATATTGGGAAGATAATAGGGTATGTACCCCCATCTTTCTTTACATGCTTTGTATTAAGCATGAGATATTTAATCTTTTTATATAAAATTTATAGTATTACAATGCTGAAGTCACCGGTGTTTCCGAAAGGACTTGTGTGGTGCAATTCAAAGGATTTGAGAATTATGAGGAAGTGCTTCAAGTGGATTGTATACCAATAACAGATGATGTATGTAAAATTGCATAATATAAAATTATAGCAAATAAATAACTATACATATATGATATGTATATTTACGATATATAATAATATTCCTTAATTTTAATTATCGTAATAGTATCAAGATCACATTTCGGATATAAGACGGCAAGATCAACGTTCTAATAATCGACAACCACGTTACGATCAAAGTCACAATCACATAAATGGTGAGTGGCAAATCATTTGTCTTTAAATATTAAATTTTAAATTTCTAAGGTGTAAATTTATGTTTTATACATATTCATATAAGATAATTTAATACATTGTACACTCACACACACACGTAAAAGAAATATAATTCAATGAAAAATTGTGATAGCAGCACCTATGGAATTTCGACGAGGCGGAAATGGTGCTGTTAGTGGAAATAAAGGATATAATAAAAAACGGAATCAGCAACGCAGTACACAACCTATTTATCAACCGCCAGCGCAAAGAGGCCACACTTCTATGCCAATTAATAGTCAAAATAATACTCAACATAATTCTTTCCTTTAATATAACTCTAGTCTTATACATCTTTAGTAAAAGAAATAATTCAGTTCTTACTAAATATTGAGGCAGTTGCATTTGCTATTGAAAGTTGATTTAACAGGATGCTACAAACTAAACAGGACGGTTTAGATGTTGTAAATGTTACTAGACGTGAATTGTGTATGCAATTTGATTTTTACCAGAGTCAAATTAAATACGTGATAATTTAATATCGAGCAAGTTGATGTTTCACACTGTACACGAGAAGGAAGAATCACGAAACTTCTATTGTAAAAAAGTCGACTGTGTTCTTGAAATATTATTTGTATTGTATGAAATGTACTATTTGTATTGTAGGAAAATTGATTCTTATTACTGCAAAACAGGGCAATGTCTGTACCTCGTCCATTTTAGTCGTAATACAATTGTAATGAAGTTTCGTCCATTTTATTTACCCTGGAAAAATTACCAAAGTTATTAAAAGAATACATTTCTATAAGAGATAAATAAATTATATATAAAATTTTAATTTAAATTTTGAATTTTCCAGAAAAAAAATAATTCGAAAGAGATTGAAGTAAATTATAAATTCAATTTTTATCAGGATATCAGAAGAGAGAGAAAAAAGATATGAAAGATTTAATATAATTTCAACTTTAAGATAGCACAGATTTTTAAATACAGTTTTTTTTTGGTATATGTATATATTAATTTCTATTATGATGGATTTATAATTTTTAAAATACGAAGCACCAATAGAGGATCTTCTGAAGGATCCATTCAAGAAAAATTGATTCTGCAAATATATGCACATATATATGTTTTGATATTAATAAAATGAATATAAGAGAAAATATTTATAAAATGAAATAAAACGCATATCTGTAGTGCAATTTGTTTAATTATCGCTTGTACAAAACACAAATTTGATAAAGCTGTAAAAGTCAGCAAAGTATTATCTTGAAAAGTAAAACAAATTAAAATAAATAACTTATTCAAATTCCAAAAGAAATCCCGAGCTCTGATAACTACATAGTCCGAATGATTTAATAAAGATGACCCAAATTTTTTAAATACACAATTTTTTATATATTTATGTATGTATTTTTCATATATTTACATTATATGTAATTTGTTTTTTTAGCGATGCGCGATTTATATTTTCTCACAGATTAATATAAAATTGAACTTGATTGTCATATTCATAGAGATCATTCATAGATAAATCATTCATATTGACCATTCATTGATTGATCATGCGCACATTCATGAATTAATCATTCATAGATTGCTCATGCGCACATCGTTCCACGCAGAACATCACATAACCTTTATTTGAAACATCACATAACCTTTATTTAAGTGTGCTTTATTTAAAAATACGTACACGTGTTATTTATCTGAAAGTACATAGCATTTGACTTACAATGCGGCTTGGATTAGTTTTGTTGACCATGGCCAGAGCTCCAAAATTGCCATATAGATTTAGAGGGTGAGTCCTTGTGCATAAAAAGTAATCGCGTTTTATAAAAATTAATTTATGTGATTCGTGTTTGTAATATACTGAACTGTTACATGGATGTATATAGTTCATCATACTTTTTTTACCACAGGAAGTATCGTAAAGTTAAAAAACCGTCCCTAGATGATTTATTCAAAATGAAACAGGACTTTCAAAGAGAAGAACAAAATATGATGATTTTGCGGCATCCTTACCTTACAATCTCGCAGGAACGTTGCTCCAAGAAAACGAAAGAAAATGGATTTCTCAAAAAAGTTACCGAATACAAAAGAAGTAAATTCGAAAAAGAAATCACTATTGCTGATCATCTAGCCCATTTGAGAATCACAGAAGCATGGGATTAGAAGTTTCTTATAGATGTATGTAATTTTATTTTATAAATTGCTTTAGATTGCTATAAACTGAATAAATGTTTCTTAGGAATGTTATATAGTTTTCTTTCCAACAATTTTATGTAAATTGATACAATATATTACATCGAGGATATTTTTTAACATAGAAAAGACAATATCAGATATATTATATAAGCTTGATAAAGTATATCGATAATGTACAAATCAGAAATTAGGATTAATACTGTGTCATTGTATAAAACATATTTCAAGCCTATACATCTACTAAAAAGCTATCTTGAAATCGTGTTAACACATCCTTTGGCTTATTTCTCATCCAACCAAATGGGTCTGCATTAATTTCCTCTTCTGTTAATGTCTTTCCTTCATAAAGTAAATTTGCAAAATCTGCTACAACAGGATCAGCATTACCACTGCTCATTCCTATTACTTTACTATCTTTAAAATAATAAGCAAAGAATTCCAATTTATCCAATGAGCCATATATTTTTATACTAGTAGGTTTCCCATGACCTGAAAATAAAGTAAAAAAAATTTATTGAGTTGGATTCCTAATAGTTGCCAACATTTATTTCATTAATAATTATAATTTTGCAAAAATTTGTATGAAAATATATTAAAAAAGTACCTGCGTATCTAAAATTTTTGCCCAATAAATTGGTCCAAAAGAATGGTATTGTCTTCAAAGGAATTTCTTTACCACATATGTTCTGAGCTGCAACTTTGCCATGATAATGGGCTAAAGAATAATGACCTATTGCAGCAAATATGTCATCAGATCCATATATTGGTGCATAAGCTATATCACCTCCAGCATATACATTTTCTATATTTGTTTTTAGATGCTATAATTTAATACATATTTTAATCATATATCAAAATATAAATAGATAAAATAATGTATTGTCTGAAACCTAGAAGATTGTACCTTATTTACTATTATAGTGCCATTATTCCTCATTTCAACAAGTGAGTCTTTCAGCCAATCTGTGTAAAAAGTAGATCCTATTCCAACAATAACTATATCTGCTGGTAAAATTTGACCATCTGTAAGTTCGACTCTACCCAAAACATTTTCTTCATCTTCCTTTGGAATAAATTGCTTGATATTGTTTTGAAAGATAAACTTTACCCCTGATTAAAAAATTATTATCATTACACAATACATTATGCTATGCGTAATAACTTTGTATAATACCTTTTGCTTCATGCTCTTTTCCAATTCTACCACCAATGTCGGTGCCGAATATCGCTTTAAAAGGCACAGTATCGCGTCCTATTACTGTAATAGATTTGCATTTATTGATACAATAAGCTGCTGCTTCCATACCAATGAAACCTAATCCCAATACAACTAGATGTTTTTCGGGAGATAACTGTGAATATACGTCTTGTGAATCAGTATAATCTCGCAGCACAAAAATATTTGATAAATTACTTCCAGGTATATTTGGCATTCTCGGTTTACTGCCTGTGCATATGAATAGATCATTATACTTTAAGTTCTCATTGTTACTTAATTTAACAACATTTTGAGTTGTATCCAAGCCTAAAGAAAAATAAAAATAATCCTATAGTAGAATATATATAAAGCATATAATATATAGTTGAATTATATACATATGATGAATAGTGCTTATTTGTATTTATACCTATAGCTTCTACACCAAGTTTTGTTTCAATTTTGTGTTCATCATAAAACTTGGGTGGCCTTAATGCTGCCTTCTGAACATCGAAATCTAACACTTTGGATACTTTTATGCGATCATAGGGTACAACATTCTCCCTGCATACCATAACGATACGTCCTGTAAAACCTTCTTGTCGCAGACTCTCTGCGCAAGTTGCACCCGCCGGTCCTCCACCGACTATTACAACTGTTTTTATATTTTCAGGATCACGTGCAGACATGTCCTTCACACGTTTATTAATATCCAGATCTTTACGTTTGGCTTTTACATGTACAAGACCAGTTTCATCTATACGAACCTATAAAATACAAAGAAATAGATGTGCAAAAATATAAAATAATTTTAAAAAATATATAAATGAGTTGAATACCTTGTAGCATGGTAAAGAATCCAAGCCTGGATAATCTTCAATATCTCCAGTTTTAATATTAAAGCAAGCTCCATGCCATGGACATCTCACTCGTCCTTCTCCTAGTGCTCCAGTATGTAGTAGAGCTCCATAATGTGTACATTTGGTACCAATCGCATGCAATTCACCTTTTTGTTTTATTAATAAAATTTTGTCTTCATTATCTCCAAGGGGTAATAATTTCATTTCATTTTCGTTGATATCTTCCTGCTTGCACACCACACCTTCGATATAATCATGCTGTTCTTGAGAACCTGACATGAGAATAAGACAAACAAATTTACTGTTTACCTTACATATTTTTAGAGCTGCAAAGCAGATGACTCACAACAGGTGCAGCAATATGACAATTTATTGTGTTTCTGTGTGATATTTTCTATTATATTATGTTCATTACAATTTCTTTTCTCTTTACTTTTATTTAACATAATTAAATATATTGTCTAATAAAATATTCAATTTTATAATTCTAAATCATATTGTAGTGAAACATTAGTGAAATATATCAATGGGAGAATATAAAAGTAAATATTAAAAAACTATAAAAGTTTGATTTTTAATAATTCTATCGCTAATTCAAATTTTTTAGTCTCCATAACAGCCTTAAAACAATAGAATATTCGTGTTAAAGTCATTTGTAAACACGAAAAGAATGCTACCTCTAATCCATCGAGCGACTGAATATCTCCATGTCAAAACGAGAAGCTTTGTCAATAATATATATAATAAATAACTCGCATTAATTATATAGCGTAGCATACACAATTAAATGCGATAAATATATATAAGAAAATCTAAAGAAGTCGCAATGGGGATTTCCGAGTTATTATCTCGTACGTGGAAAGCTGCACTATCCGATAGGTTATCGATTATCCACAATTAATGAATAATCACGATTCTACGATATCATTTGATCGAGAGTTTTTTCAAGATGGAACGTAATGATCGAATCAAATGAGACGAAGATAATGCTTTGCGTGACCGCTGTCTTTACGTTACAAGTACATATTTGACACAATCGTGCGTCGCGCATGACAGATAAATATACATACATATATACTGTTGCGTGCAAAAAAATGAATCTCATTTTTTATACTTATATGAGAGTAGCCTTTTAAATATACACATGCAAATATACGGAGATTTTATTTATGTGTAAATTTACATGAAAATATAATTATCCTTTTTTTTAAAAAAAATTTGTATATTTTTATTATCGAAATCATTTTGAGACGTGATAGTGATGTATAACAGTCCTTAATTTTTAATATCACTCTTTTATCGTGATTATTTATTAATAATACAAAAAAACATATGAATAAAAATACAGTAGATAATAAGAAATAAAAGCAAGTGTATTCTCTGATAAATGAAATGAATATAACTTTGTTTTACGTCGCGAAATGTATATTTGCTACATCGTTTTTCTGCTTCATAGATGCAGAACGTTAATGATTCATTCATATAAATCCGTCTTCGCAAATGTGATATATATATCATCATGCTTTTTATTTCCTTCTTCTCATATCGGAATTTTCATAACCTCTTAAAGAAGTGCAATGTTTTGCAATTTCATCTATAAGCGATACTGCTGATATTATACAATTTTCGTGGTGTAATTAATAAGAATTAAAGCGTTGCTCTATCTCACATTTATTTCACATGCCCATATATTGCAAAGGCCTACCCTGGAAACGACGTAAGAACGGCATGTCCACCAAGGTGGACCACCTTCTTCTAACAAGCGTTCTAACACACTGCATCGATTCTCGCAAAGCACTGGAAACTGTCAATGTGCGATTCGATCATGCGTCCTCGTGCTACATAATAGTACGTTTTTTTTTCATGAACTCTCTATAGTTATTATATTTGTATGTAATTTCTCATTGTTAATGAATGATTCTATACAAAAATGTTCCGATTTACATTTTTCACGAAAAAATTATGCGCATATTCTGACAATACATATTTCTAAAAGATGTCCTATCGTCTTTAAGATATTCTTTTGGCTACTCTTTTAGCTATTTTTTGGCTTTTTTGTATTGTCTGACAATGAGTATATCTCAAAATTGAAAAAATTAAATTTAACAAAGATTTACTTTTACAGACTCTTAAAAAAAATAATTCGAATTGAACTTTTCGATGCGATCGCGCGCGTTAAAATTAATCGAAAGCAATTATCGAAGAAAGGAATTTTAACAAAGTTACATGTACGGTATAACATGGCCAACACACTGCCAGATAAGAGGAAAATTGTTTCATTCAGATTTTTTCTAATTCTCCCGATTCTCCCTCGTTTTTCCTACATTGTACGAGTTGGCCTTTGTACGAGATACGCACCTGTTGCCATAGATTTATCGGGTTTATTTCGGAAGGCTTTGCAAGAACCCGCACCCATGTTGTAGCGAATAAAAATCACCAACCAAAAAACACAAACAAGAGCGAGGGAAGAACAGACGTTGCGTATTTATCGGTAGACCGCGATCATCTGTCTACATCGTGTACATTCCCGTGATCTACGTACTAAGAAGTGCGGGCCAACCTTGAGAGATTCGTTTGTGACGTTTAGATTCTCTCAAGGAACTTTCACATTGTGATCGATATGTGTCTACACCGTGGTGCCGTACCCGGTACTTTCCTCGTCCGACAAAATCGAATGTAGCACGGTCTTCTTAATTATGCTTAATTATTTCTTAATGCTCGCAATAATGGGAGGCTTTATCTGTAAATTACAAATTCCAAGGAACCGCAACGAGCGCGATAAGATATGACTCATTCGATTATAACACACACTTGTCTAAAGAGACATATGAATATGAAGAATATCTTTTGCGTGAGCGGAATTATTTATTAAAAGGATGCGCGAATAAATCTGATCGCGAGGATTATTTTTTAATAGATGACTCGCACTCGAAAAAAAACTTTGATATTTAAAGATGACATATTTTTCAAAAGTCTAAATTCCGCGATATTTTGAGCGAAATGTATGAATGTATGATAATATCAAGACTGGTAATTTGAAATAAATGACATTTGACAAAATTCTCGCTCTATTTTCTCTTCAATTATAAAAGTATACACCTGAAAAATTCTCGTGAGACAAGGATAAAACAGAAATGTTTTGATAAAATTTCCTTAAAAATTCTCCTACTAATTCATACATTTCGCTCAAAATATCGCGGAATTTAGATTTTTGAAAATTATCTCATCTTTAAATATCAAAGTTTTCTTTGATAATATCAAGACTGGTAATTTGAAATAAATTTTGATGACTCGCACGAAAAAAAAACTTTGATATTATCAAGACTGATAATTTGAAATAAATTTGACAAAATTAAAGATATTTTTTATTGAAGATATGTATGCATATTTATATAGCAGAAATAATTTATATTATCGCCATCTGCAAAAGAATCTTGCGATTAAAATAAGAACTACGATCGATAACAAGGAAAGTATAGATAATTAAATTAAGTGTTTTGTAAGCAATCGGTAATTAATATTTGCAGTTATACTAAATCTCACCAGATGTCATGAGAGTTCACATTTTCATGAGAATTCCTCTTCAATGACGTTTAGATTCTTATATATTCGAATCTGGTAGTGTGAGGTTAGATCTTATTGAGTCAATATCATTTCAAAGGGAAAGAAAATTTGTGTGTATATCATACATGTTGCAATTTTTCTACACTCATTTCAAGGTAAATTAAATTCTTTATTAAATTCTTATCTTATTATATTTTTCGAAACTTTTTTAAAAAGGATAAATAAAATATAAAATTTGGATTCAAAATTGTAAGGTTACACGGAGGCAATTTTATTAATAATTAGTGAAATTGTGCTTTCTTGTCAATATTTCAAGAGATGAAATAACAGTTTTAAACGCGCTTTGTAATAATATAAAGTCTTTCGCTTATGCTTTTTTTCCATCTACTGTCTGAATTGCAAATTGATTTCGAAGAATAAAGTTTTGATATATATGTAAATATATATATTACTTGTACTTCTATAGTAGCCTTGCTTTCACAAGTATTGAAGGTAGAATCGAAATCAGAGAAAAAAAAACACTAAACTTGAAAAAAGCTTCTCAATATCTGCGACAAAGATTGAAATTATCATTCCGCACTTCAAAGCGTTCCCGGTGTTTCCCGCGTTTCTCTGTACAAAAAAAAACCAGTTGCATCGTAAATGAAGAGACCGTCTCGCTTCTATTCTTTCCGACTCGCTTCGAAATGGTTCAATCTCCTGCCAATAACACACTTGATCTCTCGCGCGAACTCGGATAAAGAGAGAGGGAGGAAGAGAGAAAGAAAAAGAGAGAAAAAGAGAGAAAGAAAAAAAGAGAGAGAGAGGGAAAAAGAATGGGAAAGGAGGACATAAAAACCGCGCAACTCGAGGCTCGCGCGATTTAAATTAGTAGCCCTTAGACTCTTCAAAAGAGAAATTTGGTCCAACGACGCATGAAAAACAGAGCAGCCGACACGGGTGTAGGGGTAAACGGTTAGGTGCGCTGTACGGATATTTAATTTGTGCCTGGCGGCGGCGGCGGCGGCGGCAAAACGTCAGGGACGTAGGGGGATGAAAGAGGGGGAGGGGGGTGGTGGGTGGTGGGACGGAATGGCGTAAGGTTACGCGGGAGCCTCTCGCTCTTTGAGGTCGGTGGTTGATGGCGGTCGGTTACCCCTCTCTCCGCGCCACCGCTCAATGATGTGGGCTCGATGTACGCACTGAAGGCTGCCGTGGAACGTAATCTCGCAAGCGGGAAGGAGAGGAGAGAAAAGGGGACCGGAGCTCGGTAGAAAGAGAGGGTATGCGGTCCGTGATGATAGTCTCGCGTGCAAGAGGCAGCTTAAACCGAATCAACCAGGTAACTGTACATCGCTACGTCTTTTTTGATACATCTCTTTTAATATCCCCTGGGGAAGATCGTGCGCGTGCTTTATTCGTAATGTTTCACGCGTAATTCTATTCAGTCGGCCATTGATTATATCGCGCGAATTATGTTTCTGTTGATATATATTAGAAAATTATTTAGAGATATATTATTTATATTTAGAGATATATTATTTAGAGGTATATTATTTATATTTATTAGAAATTTATTTAGAGATTTATATAGATATTAGATAGATATAGATTTATATAGATATTTATATAATATTTTATTAGAGATTTATATTTATTAGAAAATTATTTAGAGATTTTATGATAAATAATCTCTGATTGTTAAAAAAAGATATTCTAGAAATTCGCGCTTTACATTTGCAAACTTGTTGATATATTCGTCATTCATTTTCAGTGAATTAAGCCTTATTGTCTAGGTTAGCCGTTTGATTCAGATTAGATTTCAGTGAAACGTGGCGATATCTGATCAGACATCGCGTTACGTAAATATCTCCTTCATTTCTAAAAGATTCTTTTTAAAAATATTACATATATTACATTTATAATATTACATTTATAAAGAAATTCAATCAATATACGATAAAATAACCTTTCTTTTTTCCATCTATTATTATTTCGACGAAGAAGGAGAAAGAGATTGAGACAAAATTAATGAGCAATACATAGACTTTGCACTATTGTATCGAGCTCAATTCTAGGATAAATTCCAACTTGATATTTCATTTTCACCAAATAGCCGACAAAATTGCGGCGTGATACGGGCATTAGGGTTACGTGTGCAATTTCTCCGTATATCCGTGTCTTCGTGTCAAGGTATACGTTTGTACGTTAGTACGTTGGGCGCAGAGCTTCGCGCGGGCGAAGGGAACGACGCCGAGCGTGTGCCGAGGGTGACCGGTCGGCGCCGAATATCGTCGAGCGCTCCCGAGGAAGGTCGAGTCGCGGGCCGAGGTGAACTTAGCGCGCAGCTCGAAGGAGCCCGGTTTAGTCTATCTCCAAGCGCTGGACGCGGCGGGTGCCGAGAGGGGCTTACAACGCTCGAGGCAAAGGGTTGCGTGCGCGGTTGTACATCGTCTCGCTCCTGCCCGTCTCTTCCCCTCTCCCTCCCTCACACACATACACGTACATATACGCACGTTTAATCGCTCTTGGGGCTCATCCGCCACCCCATTCGCACTTGTCCGACTTTGCGCGCTCACATATGTTTGTATTGATACACAGCCGGAAGCCGGACAGGTGAATCGTCCTCTTCCCGATTACGATGAAACAGGAGTGGTAGATCTGTCTCATTTTGCCATCTACTTTTGTCTCATCTACCTACGTACCTACCTACCTACCTGCTCGCTCTGATCTCTCACGAATTTCCCAAGGAATTCGATGACGGTAACACCGGCAAGGATGGACGCAAAACAGCGGAAGAGACAGTTTGTCAGTCATCGGCCGTACTCGATTCGGTCAACTCACCACGTGGATCGTGGTCTCGTGCTCTCGTCGCTGACACCATTCACGCTCGTCCTCGTCCTCGTCCTCGTCCTCGGTAAGTCGCATCCAATTACATAAATATGAATATCCGTGAATTTTGGAGCTACCGTCAGCTATTGCAATTATAATTTAATTATTAGAAAAATGAAATAAGTTTGAATGAGTTGATATTAATATTGTAAGAATTTTATATCTTATCATAGATGGAAGTCTTTTAGAAAAATATTCTCTCTTTCCCTTCCGTTTTTCAGAAAAATATAAAATAAATGAAAAGAATATTTTACATAGGTTTTTAATATATAAAATATATATATATATATATATATATATATATATATATATTATATCACTTTTAAATTTCTCTTGAAAGATTAGAAAAAAATACCGTGTAAGACATGCAAAACTAGTTCTTCTGTTACACGAATAATTAAGTGAATTATTTTTAAAAACTCCGGTAATAATGTACAATCAAAGCAATAATGTCTTATTATTACACCAAGCGAAATGGAATTGTGTTATTTTGGGGGCTAAAACTAAGTGCTGCGTAGCATTGAATTACTGGTTCGTGATTCGCGGTAAATTTGTGAGAGATATTCCAGAGTTATAATTTAATAAAACACAGACGCAGAGATAAAGCCATATTTCAAAGTCACATTGCTTCTTACAATATACAACTTTGTAACTTATCGGCTCCATGCACGCATCCTTTTTGGAAAAAATCAACAAAAATTATTATATTTTATTTAACACAAAATTCGTACGGTTTTTATTTTGCGCGATATAGTATATGTTGCTGTGTTATCACATATATTTCTATAAAAATTAATTCGCGCAGTTCTTTTTTTCGTTGTAACGGCGATACGTGTTAATTTACTATCGGATAGAATTTCCCAAAATACATATAGAAATTGATGCAACAGAACGTGGTGCATCCGCGGAATTCAATTTTGCCAGAAATATCTTGTTGTATGAAACCAGATATTGATCTTACGGAGCGGAAGATAGCCGGCGGTGTTAGCGAGCGCGTAAACTGAGTCGCAATGTCGTTTAACAAAGTGGAAACGACAATATTCGCGTTCAGGGATAATCGCGCCTTGCAATATAACGCGACAATCGCGAACCGCGAGATCGTCGAGATCGGGAAAGAGAGAAAGAGAGAGAGAGAAAGAGAGAAGAAAAGGGTACCGCAACGAAATCTATTTCCGCCATTTCCCGCCGCCATTGAAACTCAATGTTGTCGGGATTGCAGAGTCGAATATCAAGTGTCTTATTACGCGCATCATTGATCGCGAAATTCTCGCTTCTAATGATGTTAACCCAATAAAATTGCGAAAATTACGCGCAAATGTATTTTAATATCGTTACCGAAACGCGTTGCTGTAAAAAATCTTGAGATAGATCGCATCGATATCGCGTCTATCGGTAATTTCGATGCTTTGTGCCTCTCCGCAAACATTTAGCGCGAAACAACATTGTCGGCGAGCTAATCGCGTTTTCTGTAATGCTGATTGCCTCGTGCGTCTTTGCCATGACGCAAGACTAATTTACCATCGATCCGATTAAGAGATAGGGGGGGAGGGAGGAGGGAGAAGGGGGAGTAAAGAGCACTTCTGAAATGCATCAGCTATGGAGAGTAGTGTCTAATGGCACTAATCGGTCAAGTGCCTTTAGTCCGGGGGTAATAATTGGCAGGCAGCGAATAATCAATTATGTTTGGCGCGAATATATTGCATGTCCATCGATTTCACGCGCGCGTATTCTTTGTCGTTTAAGTTTGTCGTAACGTTTATTTAAATATTTGAAAATATTTCAGCAAAACTATCGTTGATTGCACGGGCACTTTTTGTCAATATCAATTTTTCAAACGGAGGGAAAGAGAAGAGAAATTTTTATCTCCTTTTAGAGAGAGAAAGATACACACGGAAGGAAAGACTGTCATGTACAGCGCATACATATACATATAATATCGTATCTTGTGCAGTGCACCGCGCCAGAAAATTTATGCCGCGTTAAATTTATATATTATATATACGTATACACACACACACACACACACACACACAACATATATATATATATATATATATATATATATATATATATATCCTGGAAGCGCTCCTTGTCGAGTTATATGTTCCATCTGCGAGTTACACATAGGTATCGCGAATTTTCGAAATTCCTCGCAGTGATCAGTTTCCATCAAATAGTTTGCGAATCATGCGCGTGCCGCGATAAAAACAAGAGACTTTCCTAGCTTGTCAGTATCTTGAAACATTTGTTACTATTAACTACGACATTTATAAAATTAGAATTTTTTAATATAGAAAGAATATAAAAGAAAGAAAGAAACGAGAGAGATAAAGATGAGAAAAAAGTTTAGGATCGATACGAGGCTGAGGAAAGTAATAAGGAATGCGAAAGAATCTCCCGGATTACGTCCCATTGAAATGGTTCAGACTCCTATAATTTGCTTTTCCTTTTTCGATGTGCCGGTTTATCCTTATCGGGAATACGGTATCGCATAAATCAAAGTGTTTATTCAATAGTGACGTAGAACATACGAGGGAGGAGTTTGATATAGAGTAAACTTGCTAATAATCTACGACCGCTTCACTTTTCTGACTTAATAAATATTGCAAAAGTATACTTTCACATTTTTCTGCCTTTTTCGAGATACCGAATGCGAAAAGTCTCGAGATCAGCTCCTCCGGGGGTTTTTCTTTTTAAACTTGGTTTTAACATTACTCGAAATTACCCGACGTTCCTCCAGAGAGGCAAATAATAAGATTTCGATGTTTGAGAAATCTTCTCGAAAATGATTGCTCCTCTCATAACGAGCAGATACGTGGTTTAAACTATATCAAAGTAGTATACACAAAGGATCTTTTCGCGAGAAGGAATTCCCTTCGAGAAGGAGTTGAAGTTTAATCCACCAATCTGTGAATAAGCTCGAGAGTTGCGTTTAGCTTCTTGACGAAACTTTTATGTAACGTACATTAAATTAGCTCCTGCGCGGATAAGATTATAAGCTATATCGACAAAGGTGCAGCCGGCTTTCTTTCCTCTCCCCCACCTTCATCCCGTCATTTCGCTGGCAAGAAAGATAATTCGACACAATGTTTAATTAGATCGCGTAATTAATGATGTAGCCCCCTACAAGCGTAGTCCGCGAACGTTCGCGACCATCATCCATTCAACCGCTGAGTAATCCTTTGGACCACAATGGATTCACGACATGGAATCCGCCAAACCATTCGCTTACACGAGTCAATTTATCGCTTCTCTCGGACGGCAAGACGAGACATTGGATGCTGCAAACGCCTGTCTGTAACACGGCGTAATGATTTTAAATCTCTGAATCGCAGTGTCATGGCATTGATAGTTGGAATCCATCATGGGTTGAAAAATTGTCTAAAGTCTTTTATTAAACAAATGATGTCTTTTATTAAAAATGATGATGTCTTTTAATCCAACATTCATTGCTTTAAAATAATAACCATCTAATGGAAAACATTGCATTCTCGATTTGTAATAACAAAAACAAAGATGGTTATAATGATGATTGATGAAACTTGATTGAAAAATGCAAAAATTATTAATATCATAATTGACAGATACATTTACAGAAAAGTTTCAAGATTTAAAAAAAATCTCCTATCTTTAAAAAAATTCTTTTTGATTATGCAAAAGAATCAAAATTATCAAATATAGAAAACTGTAATTCTCGAAACTTTTTTTAGAGATCGAATATATGTGTGATTGAAAATTAATTTATATTGGCATTTTTTTACTTGGACATTTCGATAGAAATAACTCAATTCGAAAATAAAGGGGGATGAATAATCTTAATAATCCAGTTGTCGAATCAAAATATATAGAAAACTAAAAATCTCGAAACTTTTTTTAGAGATCGAATATATATGTGATTGAAAATTAATTTATGTTCGTATTTTTTTACTGGGACATTTCGATAGGAATAACTCGATTCGAAAATAAAGGGCGATGAACAATCTTAATGATCATAATCAAGTTTGTCAGTCAGATAAACCGTGCGATTTTTCAAGAAATCAAAATGTCGCATCGAGGGGGGTTGGTCGACCGCTGCGCGTGGTCAGTCCCGTTTCATTCCTCTCTTCCTATTAATCGGAAAAGTATACAAAGACCAGCGCACATGGCCGCCTGTTGAATTTGCTTCGGTATAGCTGTCGATACGCGCTGCGTGATGCTGCGGAGCGTAACGTGGAATTGAAAATAACGCTATCGGACACGACGGTATCTAATCGAAAAGCAATTATGAGCCGTTGGAGTTAAGCCGGGGTACATCGTATATATATACCGTAGTCATTCTAGTTGTTATAGTCGACGTCATTCTCCGTATCCCACTCTCGCTTCGTCGATTTAAACTAAACTCGTTCAATAAAATAGAACGCACGAAGTGATGAAGACCCTCGTACTGGCAGCCAGTTTAATTAAATTTCGCGTTCGACGAACTTTTTAGCATTCGATTTCGAGCTTTTTAATTCCATTTTATATATTTGTATTGAAAAAAATTAATTTGCCTGCGAGCGCGAAAAAATTTAATGTTGTACATAATGAAAATGTATATGATACATTATAAGATTAGTAGACAATTAGTAAAAGCGTAGAATGATATGTTTTATATCAAAGATGTTTATATCTGCTTGTATTTCTGCGAACGTCATAAGCTCCGATATGTACTACGCAGAGAATTAAAAAAAGGATTGGAAGATAAAAGAATAAGAGGAAAAAAATGTGTGTGTGTGTGTATGTGTCATGTCATGGTATGCGTTTTTACGATATAAAGATATCTTCCGTTTCTTTCTTTCCCTGATGCAATCGCTGGAAGCGTCCCTGGATAATACTGTCATCGGCAGTATTTAGTTTAAGGATAGCGGGGAACACGAGAGTCCGGAATAAAGACGGAGTAGAGGATGGATAAAGAAAGAGCTCGGTAAAGCTCTGGTCTGGGGAGGAGACGCGAAGAGAGAATGAATGAGCGGAGAAGAAAGAGCGGCGAACTTAGAGAAGCTTGCA